AATTTTTGAGAAAATTTAGTGATAGTCAAATAAAACCGTTAATAATTTTCGTCCGTAGCAACGATATATGCAGTATCGTTGCTAAATATCCTAAAAGTATCTCGTTAGGATTCTATTGGGATATTTAGCAACGGTTGGCTAAAATTGTCGTTAATTTTGATATTTAGCAACGGTCTACTAAAACCGTCGCTAATTTTTGCCAAAATGGTTATATAGAGATGGTTTTGGAAAACCGTCGCTTAAAAACCCAAATAAAGTTCAATTTGTGATGGTCTTAATAAACCATCACTAAATACGTAGCTTTTTAGCGATGGTCTATCAAAAATCATGGTTAAATCGATCATTTTCGCGAGGATTTTAAAAAAATTATCGTGAATTTGTATGTTTTTACATATGGTTTTCAAAACCATTGCTAAAAATCCAAAATGTAATGAAATTTGCGGGAGTCTACTCAGACGGTCACGAATTCTTCATGTTTAACAATGGTTTTATAAACTATCGTTAAATGATTGTGGCTAATCCTATATTGTGTTGTAATGTTAGGTTCTTATTGTTTATTTTATATGGTCAAAAGGAAATGAATTTTGTACACATGGAAAGTCTGCAGCTATAGCCATGCATTAGCCACTCCAGTTTTTATTTCACAACGTGATTTTATCTTATCCATGCCGTGTCTCTCTATTACCTTTCTTTTGTTTTGTAGTGTTATTTGGTTTTTTATTTTGGCCTGAGATCAGAAGATAAGAAGTGGCACCGTGGTCCTTAAACTATATATATATATATATATGTATGTATGTATGTATGTATTTTTATAATACTGAAATGCAGCAGACGACAAATAAAGACAATACAAAAAGAAAACTACTGGGCAAGATAACGCAAAATTGAGGGTCTCGAAACTACATTTTCTAATTATCTATCTTTGGCAAGTGTGATCGGTCATTGTTATTATTTTTGTTATTGTTTTATTCGTGGCTTATGGGACTTGAATTATAAATAAATGTAGTATTTTTTTTATATTACGTAATAACAAAATAAATTAAAACTATTGAGACTCAAATTTGCTTTCTTAAAAAAAATAAAAAATAAAAAATTATCTTATAGAACTCATTTATGGAAAAATATATCAACCAAGACGAATATCTCATGCATTAAATAAGCAGTTGCCGTCAATAATTCTCATAAATTCAATGGTGAATATTTTTTGATAAATAAATTTTGTAAGACCATTATGTATGATCAACCGTGCTCAAATTTTGAATCTTATTGAAAAAAAAAAAAAAACCTTCATCAAACAACTAACAACTAATTAGGCTAATGTCCTACGTCAACGAAACAATTACTCTATAAATATAAATGAGAAACTAATATTTTAAGGATGGTGGTATTCCCATTCCATCATTTTCTTTAATGATTAACATGACCATATTCAATATGCAAATTAATTACTCTATTATTTAAAATTGTAAAATAATTCTTTTTTATGCTCCATTAAAAATACTATAAGAAAAAAAAAAGACAAAAAATCTATATTTCAAAAATTTTATTTTTTCTTCATTTGATTCAAATAGTTCAAATTCTATATTTTACGATTTATAACTTCTTAACTAATATATTTGGATAATCTAACTTGCGAAATGGGAATTTTTCTATAATTACCATACTTTTAATTCCTAATATATACCTTCAATAGGAAAATCATTACACTGCAAAACAACACTAAATTATTAGTAATAATTTAATATGATTTATAGTATATGATTTTTGTTATCTAAAAAATTTATGGTCAATAAGTGAATTATTCATAAAATTTTCAATATCTGCCAACTCAATTTTGAATTTGTAAGGAGAAAACATATTTTACAGGACTTGTATCTTGAAAAATAAAGTCATATATTAATCGGACTATATTACTCTTATTATTTGAAATTATTTGTCATTTCTTTTGAAAATTCTCATGAAATTAATTTTTACATATAATTTTATTTATTACTAAATGTAATTTATTTTTTCATGCATAAATTTTTTAATAAAATTTTAAAATATGATTATTTGATTTTTTAAAATATACTAATATAATTCACAAGATGGATTCTTATGATTATATATATATATATTACTCTTATTATTTGAAATTGATTTTTTTATTTGTTGTTTCTTTTGGAAATTCTCATAAAATTAATTTTTGCATATAATTTTATTTATTAATAAATATGATTTTTTTTTATGTATGGGTTTTTGAATAAAAATTTAAAATATGATTATTTTATTTTTTTAAATATACTAATATAATTCACATGATGGATTCTTATGAGTTTTAAATGAGAGTGTTAAAAATCTAAAAGTATAATTTACATAATTTATCTCAAACCTTCAATAATAATAATAATAATCAATTAAAAAATAGAATTCATGTGTTTTATTTGATTTTTCTTTGTATAATCAAAATTTATTTTTTATTTTTTTTATTTTAGTCTATTAACTTTAATATATTCCTTGCAACTTAATTATTTTTTAAAATCTTTTTTGATTTATGCTGCACACTCTAGACTCATTAAGTATGGTCCAGAGTGTATTTATTACATATAATTTTATTTATTACCAAATATAATTTATTTTTTTATGTATAGATTTTTTTAATAAAATTTTAAAATATGATTATTTTATTTTTTTAAATATACTAATATAATTCACAAGATGGATTCTTAAATATTTTTTTAAAATATTTGTAATTAATTTTTTCAAAAAAATATTTAAAATAATATTTTAGGAGAACCATCCATTGATTTAAATACAACTTTTTATTTTTGTGAATAAATATATATAAATCAAATGTACATATTTTTTTTAAAAATAATATTTTCATCTTCATTAAATAAGAATGAAAAAAAAATCATTTGCTAATTTTTATACTAATATTATTGGTTGTCTTGCGAATAAAATAATTGAAGTGTTGTTTTCGGAGAACCATCCAATGATTTAAATATAACTTTTTATACTAATATTATTGGTTATTTTGTGAATAAATATTTATAAATAAAATATATGTATTTTTTTAATAATCTTCTCATCATCATTAAATAAGAATGAAAAAATTTATTTGTTAATTTTTATACAAGGTTTTATATTAATTGATACTTTATTTTTTGATACAATCTTATAAAAAAAAATATTAAGGCATTTTTTAAAATTTTGGATGAAATATTATATTTAAAATTTTACAAGTTTTTATTTAAGAATCAATATAAAAAAATATCAATTTGTGTTTTTTAACTCCAATATATATATATATATATATATATATATAAGAAAGAATAAATTATAAAATTAGACGATTTTTTATTTTTAATTGAATATATTTTAATAGACCCATAAGATAATATAAACTATCAAACTAAAATAATTTTCACTTATTTTGTATATCATTTTCCGAGACATAACTATGATCTAACTCGCCTTGGTGTACATGGTACTAACATATGAATGTAAAAAAAGTTACATGCATATCATTTTCTTTTCTTTAAGTTATCATGAATTAATCATCCATTTATCATACCAGATTTGACTTTTTAAGTCATGTCCTATTTAAAATAAAAAAAATTTCTTAGTTTTTGTAAGATTCCATCCATAAAACTAATGTATTATTGCACGTAAAATCCACAATAATACTAGAAAATAAGAGTCATATTTAACATTTTAGATGAAACTGAAATTTGCTATTTTTAATTTCTTCATTGAATAAAATGTTGTTTTTCCACAATGGTCACTTGATTTTTATACGTTAAATCTATTAGTCTATAGATGAAACTGTTAAATCTAAAGTTGAGGACTTAATTTAAAATTTAGAGGAGCCGGCGTGAGACATATTGGAGCAGCAGCCCCGACGCTTCCTTCAGTACTCCGTACCTTCATTGAATAGGCCCAACACCACGTGAAGCTTGCGTCTTCCTTACGTTTATCTCTTCATCACCCACCACCTAAGGATCAATTCATTATGAGCCTTCCACGTGTGAACATCTGTTAAAAGGTCAAGCCCATCTTTAATGACTAGTGCAATTTTTTCTTCAAAACACCACCGTTTTGCTTTATTAACTATGGAAACATTCACTAGCATGGTCCCTAAGCTTTTTCCAATTATTGGTTTAGACCCTTTCATTCAAAATTTTTGACACTCTTCCATTTCACGCCTGGCTATTGGATTTTTCCTTCTAACTCATATTTATTAGATGGCTGTCAGGCTATCTGATTACATTTTATATATAAGTATCCATTTTACAATGAGGGTGAATTTGATTTTTTTTTTTTGGTCAAAAAATATTAATTGAAAATTCGGTTAATAATTAAAAGTTGCTATGGAAATCATTTGAACATCATAGCCTACTTTTGATTACTAAATGGATACCCTCAATACCAAACGGCCAAATAGATCCTAAGTGGATGAAGGTGCCTATATTAACACCGATGAAAGGAAAATCCTATAAGAATTGAATTGCGTGAAATATTTGTCAAGAAGTTAAAAATGATCAAGGTTAAGAAGTTGGAGGACTATAGTATGTCGATGTTGATGATGAACATGATTAACCTTCAACTACGCGTTTTGGAGAAATGAAGATTGCTCTAGCAAAGTAAAGTAAAGTAAAACGTGTCGGTGTCATCTTTTAGAAAATTTGGCTCCTCTTCTTTTAACCTCCTTTTCTTTCTTTCTTTCCTTTATTACTAATTTATACTTCATAATTTCTTGTATCATAAAAGGAGTCTATGCTGTATGGTGTGGCTTCGAAGATAAGAGACGCTTTTAACACGCGCTCACTACTCTTCTACTCTTTCTCCTGTCTCACATGCATTCTTTCTCTGAACTATACATTCTTCAGTGTCTGAATTTCCTCGAGAATTTCTCATAAATTATTTGTTTTTCTTGTCACACGTTGAAGCCGTACCCCTTATTTTTTCAAGCTCCATTGTTCTAGAGAACTTGTTATCAATTAATTCCACCAAAAAAAATGGAAACAAGGCACAAACTCAAATTCGCACTTCTAGCTATCTTAATGTTACTACCCTCAACCAAATCTTCAACAACGCCAAATTCAAGAATGTTGTACCAAATCGCATGCACAATGTGCTCCACATGTTGTGGCAGTACCCCAGTTCCATCATCACCACCACCACCCTCTCCACCACCACCAGCAGCCTCACCACCTCCTCAAGTCACCTCTCCCAACTGCCCACCACCACCATCTCCACCATCATCAGGAGGGGGCTCTAACTACTACTCTCCACCACCACCTTCCACTTACACTTACTCTTCACCACCACCACCTTCCACTTACACTTACTCTTCACCACCACCAGCACAAGGTGGTGGTGGCATTGGTGGGACATACTATCCACCACCAAATTACAAGAACTATCCTACACCCCCACCTCCTAACCCAATTGTCCCTTACTTCCCGTTTTACTATTATAGCCCCCCACCTCCTCTCAAGTCTGCTTCTTTCAAGTTGGTGGCTCCTTACAGTAGTGTGGTTGTTGGGGTTGCTTTGGTGCTTTTCTTGTTTTGATGAAAATTATAAAGGAAGTAAAGAAAATGGAATAATGTGGCAGATTGTCAGATCTGGAAATTAAGTTGCAGCAGAGCTGAAGTCAGAGAAACTGGAGAGTCTAGGATTCTTGAAACTTGGTCCTCGGGGAAACAAGAAACTGCCCTTCTTTCACTTTAGCTTTGGATCAAGACATGGGATTTTTTGCAAAGAAACCATGAGCCAATCTGACAATTATGAAGTAATCACTCTCATTCTCTCCCTTCTGTAGATTGATCTGTAATTTGTTTACCAAATTTGTACCTAGCTATTTTATCTTTACCTTAATTAAGTAAATTACTCATTTTTATCTGCAATAAACGTTTTTTGCTTTTACTAAGCTTATGTAATCACGACTCCGAAACTGTCGGTCGTAACTGTCTTTTTCCATTGGCTTAAGTTCCAGTACTATTAAGCCAGTTACAAACATATTATACTTACTCCATCAGTCCAAAAAAATTCAGAACCAATATTAATATCTTTTTTTTTTTGTCTAACACATTTTTTTAAATGATTAGTTATTAAATTTAATCAGAACCAATATTAATTAGAAGTATTTAAAAAATTACATTATATATATATATATAATTTCTTTGAAATAAAAGGAATACTAATTTATTACCGAGTTAATTTCTTTTTCAGACAATCAAGTTATTGTTAGTTTTTAGTATTAAAAACTAAATGGGAATGGTAGATTATAGATGTCGTTTAATGTTGATAACTCATAAATTTCTAATAGTAGCTATTTGGTGGATGAGAGGTAGAATCTTTGTGAACGTTTATGTTGCTGCACCCAACAACCTTCTCATTAAAGCTCTAGAGAGAGATTATACAGTAAGACAACTAATTCTACGTATATACATATATAAGGTGGAAAAAAAAACCTAGAGAAACGCTTGGCACTACATGAATCCCTAACGCCAGCGTGAAAATATAATAATTAGCTAAGCAATTTGGATAACGATTAAGTAATGGTTGCCATATTTAACACCGTCAAAGTGGTAGAGGTGACAATTTTCTTAGAGAAATGTGCCCGGATTAATCTCTTAGTCATTATTAATGTATATAGAATTCGTGTCTTCTTTCCCTTATTTTCAAATCAAATCAAATCAAATCAAATCGACTTCACACTTTTATTTATTTATTTCTAGTACTATTTGTTTTGCAAAAAATGTGCCACACACGTTTTAATGTGTTTAATATTGTAATTAGGAGAATTTGATTATTAACTTCAAGTCAGATTTTGTTGTTTTATTGCAGTGAATTAAATAAATATGACCTTGTTATATATTAAAAAGAAAAAAGAAAAAAGAAAAAAAAAGATTTAAGGTCAAACTTCAGTTGGACTTGGGAATAGTTTTAAAAAGAGGAGGAAAATAGTTGTCCAGCTGACTGACTAAAAAAGGAAGGTCCTTTGCCCCTCGCTTTGCATAGCTGACCTGGTGACACATAGTTATTTTGCTAAGAATCAGGTACTTGATAGACTTTTGCAGTGGATGGTTTCCATTCAATCCAGCTCCGTTTGTAGTGCCAAAATTATCTGAATCTGGAAGCTCTGATATCCCGTTTCTGACACAGGATATCGTCTGGCTGTAAGTTGTAACTAAAATGGGGGCAAACCTCAAACATAGTCCATCAAATATATAGCGTTTTTAGCTAAGTCCCCAATCAATGTCTTATTCCAATTGGGTCCTCAGCGCTTCATAGATTCTCTCGAGCCTTTCCATCTATATTTGGGTAAGAAAATAAAATTTGTCATTTAATTTTTGACTACTTTTTGGGTCCAATTGCAGCGAAAAAAATCCTTGGATATTTAATTGAGAAAAGAAAAGTTCAAAATTTTGTTTTAATGAATCATTGACCCTGCACCAGAAGGTGTCACTGTTTCTCGTAGAATGTGATAAAGTATGCAAACTGGAATTCTTGTGGTGCCAGTGCCATCCCTCTCCTATCAATCCAAACTCAAAAGCACCAACAAATGTCGCTAATCATAGCCCCTTTTTTGGCCTTCTCTTTTTACTATGCTTTCACGATTAGAGCCTGGAAAATTCCCATGTGAAGAAAAGTGTGTTGTTCCTTTTTAAGATAGCCGAAAAGAATCATGATGAACTTTTTTAAAAATTATTTTGAAGTTGTCCGTGCATCCAGCGTAACCCTTTAGCATTTAGTTCTTTTTTTTAATATATAATTATTTGAAGACAATATCCCATTCAAATCATTCAAAACAAGTGGTGGATAATTTAAGTTCAGATTGTAAGAAATGTAGTTTATTTTTTTTTTTTGAACAACTTGCACATTTCATTAAAGGAAGGAAGAAAAAACCTTCTCAATGATTACAATGAAGGAATCATATACATATTTAAATATCAAAAAATTATAGGCAAGATAAACATAAAAACTTAAATTATGATCAATGTAATGATGTATGTGGTTTTCAAAAATTAATCCGAAAATATGACCCAACCGTATAAACTAAAAAAAAAAAAAACAAGCAATCCTTAGAAGCATTTCTTTTTATGAAGATATAAATGTACCTTGAGATTTAGGATAAAAAATGCTAGCAAAAGAGCTTGATGGTTGTTGGCACAATTTAATTGTGAGAGGAGGAAACGTAAAAAGGATTTTAATGTGCGGATGGAGAGAGAGAGAGAGAGTGGGGACAATTAGTCTTGTGTTCGTTGTGTTTTGTTTTGTTTTTCCGACTCATTGAAGTAGACAAAATACAGAAACGTTTAGCTGGATGGCACGTATTGTGATGATGGTAGGGCCAAGACAAGTAAGGCAATGGCATCCTATGGAGTCTGGCAACGCAATTCGTTTGCTATAGAGAATGTGAAAATGTGATGGACAGCATGGGCCATTTCTCATGTTCTTTTGTTTCGTAGGGTTGATTGCTAATCAGATTTTTTTCTCTCTTAAAACACCCAGTTTAGGGCTAGTAATTTGGGATGGCTAAATCGTTGAAATTTGCTATTATTAATTCTGTTAACCAAAAATTAAATATTGAATTGTGTCTTTACACACGAGAGACACGTAGTATTCGTTTGGCTGCTTATGGTTGGTAGCTAGTGCTGTGTAAATCTCTTACGATTTTAGTAAATGTTGGTGCAGTTATTCATCCCTTATTATCTTATCGTATTTACCATATGGAAAACCCAACTAATTGATCATTGCTAGCATCAAATCACAATTCACCCAATGACATTGCCTCTTCCATTATTTATTAAAATAATATAACAAATAAATTTCAACAAATTTTAAATAAATAAATAAATAACGACTTTAAAATTATGTAATATTATGACTCTGTTATTATATCTATTCGTATGAAATCTATGAAATAACTTATTCTATTTTTTTTCATGTAGCATTATCCTATCATAAATGATCTAAAAATTATATAATATTATGACTCCTGTTATTTATTTATTTTGCTTTTTGTTTTTTTTTTGGCTTCATGTAACATTATCCGATCTTAATTGTAACTGACAGTAGCAACTCCTAGTAAACAAGAATGCATTTAAAAACAAGGGTAATCAAATGATTTTTTGGTTCGGTTTCTATGAAATTTAATTTAGTTTTTTTGTTAACCGAATTATCAAAAATAGAAACTGAAACCGGACCATATTTAATTTTGATTTCGGTTTTTAACCTTTTTTTTTTTCGAATTTTGAATACTTTTTGAACCTATATACATAGGCTTTTCAAATTTTTTCTTATGGAGTAGGCCATTGCCCATCTTATTTGGGTCTCTCTATCCAAAGGCTTTTCATTTATTTATTTTTATACGAGCCGAGCCATTACCCATCTTACTTTTGGCCAACTGAAGCAATTTCTTGCTTATGAACATTTTTTAACAGAAGTATTTCTAGCGTGAATGACTGAGTCTGTACATATTTAAACTCAAAATCTAATACTTCACAAAACATTTTACATGGAGGCTCACGCAAATACAAAAATGTTGTTTGTTATTGTAATTTGTCCTGTTTATCATTAGCTTTTACAAAGTTAAAAAACGCATTACTAAATATAATCCATTGACCCAAATAAAAATTACTCACCATCAAAATATTAAAAACATCATTAAAATACAATTCATTTGGTATAAATGGATTCCATATACTTCAAAAAGTCTTGGCAAATGGCAATGACATTCCCTATTTAAAAAAAAAAAAAAACACAACACATTAACTTAAATAATCTATCAAAATATTGACAATTTGAAAAAAATTATATCAAGCAAACAAAAATTAGAAACTAACCCACGTCACCCAAAATGTCAAAACACCTTTAATCCATCAAATATCTATCATAGTGAAATTTATTGCTAAATCTGAAAAATATAAGATAAAAAAAAATCAACACTTTAATATCATTGTCGAGGAAAGAAATAACAAATAAAAAGATAAGAACTATATAAATTACCAACTTGAATTCTTTTTGCATATTGCAAATTTTCTTTAATAGGGTAGTTAAAATCGGATAACAAAACTAGCCTTAGCACTGGCTCGGCGTGGCATAATCTAAATAAGGCAAAGAGTTGTTGAGTTCACAAAAACCTAACCCTCTAGTCTCCACTCTCCACCACCACCAAAAGGCCATCAAAATTACCCTCCATAAAAGCACGAGTATAGACACTACTCTCGCACTCCTACTTCTCAAGCCATCTACAAAAGCAAGCATTGACGGGAAATAAGTAATTCTAGCATTGTAAGGATAATATCTAGATTGAATTTGGATTATTCTAGGGGATGCCCATAATAGGAAACTTTGATAATTCAAATCCAAAAGTAGATTCATGACCATCTAGTAATGAAAAGAAGCCTATGAATCACATGTAATTGGATCCTTCATCCTTTTTTTTTTTTAATTGTAATTAGTCATCTAGATCCAATTAATGACTTATCCACACATTGATTTTTCCAAAATTTGATCTCAAAATTTTGTCCTAAAGTCCCAAGTTTTCAAATCATGTAATTAGTCATCTAGTAATGAAAAGAAGCTTTGATAGATGACAAATATAGGAGAAGAAGTGGGAGTACTATGATACTATCTAATGTGAGATCGAACCCATTTACCAAACACATGGAAAATGAAATGGACCATTATTTCTCAAGAACAAATCCGGACCAAGAAAAATAATTGTACATAAAACACAAATGTGTTTCTATTATCTTGAATGAAGATGAAAGAAATGGGTTGTGGTTGGTAGTTGGTGTCCGGTGGCCGACATAGCTTGCTTGATTTCTAGCAGAGAGTCCGTAAGAGACCTAAAGAGGAAGGGAATAAAATGTTGCGGAAGAAAACACTATGGTAGAAAAAGAAAGGGTTAGAGGGTTGTGTGTGGTTGCTGTGGAGTGTGGAGTAGTGACTACTAAGTGAGTGATAAGGTGGGCTGGTGGGTGGGAGAAGTTGAGATGATTCAATGGAGAAGAAGAGAAACATGTTGGTCGGCAATTGCGTGCTTCTCTATTTCTCTTCTCTACCTATGTTAGTTTGTTTAGGTTAGGTTTTGTATTTTTGGCTTTTCTTAAGTGTATTATATTTACAAATAAAATAAAAAAAATAATTTCAATTTTCAATTGAAATCATTTGAAAATTTTTAAAATCAAATTGAAAACCTAAATTATTACGGCTTGTTTTTTTAAATTATAATAAAAATTAAACTAAAATTGATATTTCGATTCTTTGTTTGGTTAAAGCCGAAGTTTGCTCACCCTAACATCTAAATGTTCTATGTGGCCCATATTAATAAACCACTTCAAAATTATTAGTAAATTATAAATTGATCCCTCTATATGTTTTAAAAAAATGAATTAATTAGTTCTTCTTGTTTTAAAAATTAATTATTTAATTTTTTATCGGTGTTAATCATATTTAATTTAATATTATTTTATCTTAAAAATATCATTTTTTTTATCATCAATCCTTTTATTTTTTTATATATTTTTTTTAAAAATCAAAATAAATTGAAAAAAAGGATTAATTTACAAGAAATATATATATATATATATATATATATATATATATATATATATATATATATATATTAAATAATTAATTTTGAAATAAAAAAAAAGACTAATTAATTTGTTATTTGAAAATAGAGGGACTTGTTTATAATTTACTCTAGTAATTACACAAACAACATTGGTTGGGCTTGCAGCCTCTTATAGTTAAAGAGTGATGAACTTACATGTTACGACCATTTGCCCTATTTTGACTTCGTGAAAGAGAGAAGTACGGATTGGAGAACAACTTAGTCTCGCTTTAAACAAACTAACCTTTAGTTGTGCATACTTTAATTTTTTGCCATGAGGCTTGTTCGCCACCATTTTCTAACTCACTTCATTAGAGCCCTATAGTGGGAATCATGATTACAAGCCTAAATGCCTAGGCCCGGCCAGTGATATGTAGTCTCTTCCATAAGTAAAAAACTAAGGGGCAATTAAATCTATATATACCCAATTTCAATTGCATCATAAACCTATAACTAAGGAGAAACCTCAATTTGGTTTTATTTTTGCATTTCGGTAAGAAACTTTTTAATCAAAAATTTATTTATTGTTGGAAAATTTGATCGAATGACATGTTTTAGGCTTATATATTATTCATGGATCGATGATGTTTTTTACCGCTAACAAATTAGTTATTTATATGTATTCTTACGGAGCTTTTAATCATATTTATGTAATTAGGACAAGTAAGGGTTGAACTCACGAGAGAAAGGGAACCGATCAATTACTTTGCAAGTTCTTGTGTGTAAAGCAAGGTTTGTATGTTTGAGATGCTTGAAAATACTATAAACTAATAAGAGATAACGAGTATAAGAGTAGTCTTAGTTAAACTTCAATGTCTACTTTTGGTTTGGTCGTTGATCATTGATTAAATAGTTAACTCATCCTAATATGAATATTCATTATCGGATAATAACATATATATTGACTCCAATATTTCTTTACCTAGTTGTTAATTGAATATACGATATCCGAGTTAATTCTTTAGTTATTGAACAACATATCAAGCACTAGATAGATTTAATCCAATAACAACATTAAGATGAGAAAGATAGGTAAAGTTAAGCCACTTTTTTAAGCATTAAAGAAGATGTAATTTAGTTTTATGTTTTCTATGGAATTGAACGAAAACATCACTAATCATCAATCCCTAATTACTACCATAAGCAAATTTAGACAAGTAATTAAATAAACTTGAATACTTAGTACTAATAAGCAATATGAATAAACAACTAGCGTGCACTCTAATTGAACTAATCTTACAACTATAAACCAATCATGTAGAAAAATATAAAATACCTAATCGAGATAAGTTTAGAAACAAAATCGGTAATCTCATAGCGATTAACCAAAAGCTTCAACTTGATTTAATCAAGAATGGAGTTTAGTTATTCATAATGTAATACAAAGAGAATTTCTATTAATGGTGTACGTAGAAAAGCTAGCTGGAAAGAGAAGAGAACAAATAATACCCTAACTTTGTAATTTATATCCAAGACTAAGGTTACATCACGTTTTGTATTAGCATTACATTGTTACGGAACTTGATATGTAAAGTCACATCGTTTGTTGCTTGATATCACAAGATTTGAAACCTTGGAAATTAAGCTGCACACGACTTGCTAACTAAGGCACATGACTATGTAACTTTGTTCTTCATCTTATATAGCCAAGCTTTTGCCCGTGTATACCTTCTCTTCCTAAGCCACACGGGCGTGTGGCTTTACGGTTCAAACCATGTAAAAAATCTACTACTCATGTGATCTTCTTCTTCCTCGAGTGTTGTTGGGTTTAATCAACCACATGACCTCGTCGAATGTTTTCTCTAGTGTGGAAATGATTCCGCCCATGTGGCTTGCTATGCTTGAGACTCCACATGGTTTCCTCCTTTAAGTCCCGCGACCAATAGCTATTTCCTTTGTTATTTCACACGGCCATGTGACTTTTCTAAGCCTCTTTAAAGTTTCTCTATTTTCTCCTTAGGTTTTGGATTTCTTTGTTTGATTTATCATTTACTACGGAACTCGAAATCGTCATCTTGTTTTTAAATAACATAGCATAATGTAATAAGTACTAAAAAGTTCAATGTAATAGAGTATAAAAGTCATGTTGATCATGCACTCATCAAATATCCCCACACTTAAACTTTACTAGTCCCGAAGCAAAACAAATAGAATAAAAACCTAACTCACTTTTGTAGAAATCATGGTTGCATGCAACAAGCCTTTAAACCCCTAGGTTACACCTAGTGGATGAGTTGTGTCTTGTGAGAATTTTCAAATGATAAACCCATAAAATCATTTAAATAAATATCATGTCAATATGATTATTCTTCAAACATTGATGCTCAATTCGAATTCAATAAAATTTAGTAGTTAACTCAATAATATTCAAGATATTATTATCATATCAATGCATGTATGTAAATTGATTTATACATCTTCATAACTAAACATAATTCGGGCATGCAACACTAACTCTACTTTTACTCCTTTTCCATCACTACAAGCAAAGAAACAAATCGAGATTTTCTTTAATCACAACTTTTCCATTTTAAGCATCCTAATTTTTTTTTCATTTCAAAGCCTTAATAGCTTTTCCCTAAGTGGTTACTTGTCTTTCTATGTGACTATTGACATTCATAATGAAGGTCATCGGTTACTTAGCAAATCATCAACAAAGTTGAAACATGTCATCTAAAAAAAAAGTCGTGACATGCATGACGCGATGCTAGTGCTCATCATCATGCTAAATGAAAGTTAAGACTCGTATATTCAATTCACCTTCTTATTGGATCCAAAAGCCTTAGTTATTGTTATTTGATCCACCTTAACCAAAACATTTTATCTTCTAGGGAGATGAAGACGGTATGGCATTAAATGTACACTCCAGGTGAGCATATGCTTTTTTTTTTTTTAACTTTTAAATTAGATTAATGAAAAGTAAAGCTAGTTCTTATTCTAGTAACCAAGAGACCATTTTTGGAAAGATGAAAAGTTTTTACCACCTGCCTTGTAGAATTATAGAAAGACTAATCAACTACTCGTGCATTGGTTGCTATCCTTTGTTGGGTTTGCTTATCGACCTTAAGGATCTTCCATTTTTGGATGTAAGAAAGAAGCCAAACCAAATCAGTTTTTTCTTCTACGGTACCTTAACGTGATATAAGCATGCAAAGGATTCTCAAGAATAAGTTTTTTTTTTAATAAGAGCTAATAAAATCATTTATTTTGGCTTTTTGACCCTAAATGGATCTCGAAAGACATGAAACACCTTATTCCAATTCGTACATACAACTTTTATCGAATATAGCTTTCCATAAAATTCTATATGTATTTATGAGATTGAGTATGAAATTCTATTTATTCACTTTAAATTTAGTATCCATTTCTCTCATTTTCCTGCTAGAATTAGAAATCCCGTATTTTTCATATCCATATGATTGAGTCCTTGGGTTTCCAAAATAATGTAAAAAGAAGTGCTTCGAATCATTGCTATTTGACTCGGACCTATTCTAAAAAAGTCAAGGCATTTTGATTTGTTTGTTGACATGGATAAAGTCAAGGAAAGCCTTTAAAATTATTCCAATATTGGACCTTGAACATAGAATATTTCTAAATGAAATCTCTTTAAACAGAAGATTTTTTGCCTCATGGTAACATGCTTTAGTCCCCTCTTGAAAGAATATTGGGTTAGCCATTCACTTTAGATGTTTCTAGTGATTCACATGGCATAATCAAATAATACAAGTCTTGGATAAGAATCTACAATGCACTAGAATGCCCTTGTTGATGATCCTTTATTCCGACAACATCTAGGGTTTCTCAAACAATGTGATATCTTAGATTGGGTAAATCCTAAACCCTTCTCCCTTTTACTAAAACTATAGAATGTTTTTGTTAAGCGTGGCCAATACCGGGTATATAAGCAATGATTGGGTAAAAAAATTGAATTAGATCTTCGAAATGATCGACTCAAATAGATGCTCATCATAAGCTTTTTTCCGTCCTCTTCTAGATCAAAAGTTGAATCTAGCACAACATTCCTGCAAAGAGTTGTGATGAGGCATCACTTGTCACAACCAATATGAATCTTGAACCGGGGCGTGGAAAAGGGATGTAGGTGTGACTTGCTTTTTCGTGAACAATAAGGCAGCACTTTAATACATAAAAAAGAAAGAGAAAAAGATGGAAGTTTCATGAAAGTGGCACTATTTATGTCACTTAGGAAGGGAAAATGTATTTAGATGAAAAACACATTGCTTTCTAAAGTTGTCTAATTTCAATTGATGTCTAGAAAGGGAAATTGACTTGATACCAAAATCATGAGGAAAACGGTCTAATGTCTCCATTAAAGTCTCACTCAAGAGGGAAATCGGATTGCAACCAAAAATCTAGAGAAAATGAAAGATTAGTGAGATCGGGAGGAAGTCTGGTGTTATAGTTGTTGTTCAAGAATAGCTTTTGTTCAATTAGACGCTCTTGCTTAAAAAGTTTTAGTGACCGATGCTTCCTATTGATGCGATGGCGAGATAGAATCTATATGCTCGCTCCATTACATTGCACATGAAGGTCAAATGACCGACCGGACCGATCATTTGCCAAGACCTTTAAGTTTGGTTTATCCTATGATTTATATTTTCAAATATATTCAACCTTTATGAAAAACGCAATCCAATCTCGGATTTACAAAGCTAGAAGAGAGACAAGAGGATCGCTCTCTTTAGCAAGTCTTCTTAAAGAAGGTATCCTATGTTAGTTCAAATAAGAGCTCTTCTTACCTCAAAAGGGAGATGGCTCAGTGACCCGGTTCTTTCTTTGAGCCGAGCCAAAGCTAAGTAGTTCGGCTATGCTTCATGGCATTTATGAGGCTCGTAGCTGGAAAAGAGAGAAGGAGCTTTAAAAGAGAAATACATTTTTTCAACTAATCCCAATGGAAGCCTAGGTCAAGAGTGGGAAAGCCCGTTACGGAATGAGAAGGCCCGGAGAAGGGCATCTTAAATGAAATTGATCCCATACCTTTAAAGAACCTAGAGGCTTAAGTGTCGGGAAGAGTAAAAATGAATCAATAAGGAATGAATGAAAAAAAAAGAAAAGAAATTGAGATAATGTTAGAAAGTGCTAAATTAATGGGTGTCGAGCAAGCAACAATTGCCTTAGCGAGAACAACTATCGGTATTGGAAATATTTTTAGTTCTTTGATTCATTTCATAACACGAAATCCATTATTGGCAACAATTATTTGGTTATGTCATTTTGGGATTTGCTCTAACGGAAGCAATCACCCTCTTTGCCCTAATGGTGACCTTTTTTTTTTTTTTTTATCTTATTTGTATTCTATTTTTTTTGGACGAGAGGTAGATTTGGCCTTTCATTCCTTAAGGAGTGAGAAGGAAGGAGAGAGGTGAGGCTTGATAAACCTTCCCCCATACTAAATAGACGGGAATTCATTCCATGTATAGGAACCGGGTTAACAAAAGGGGTCTCAAACTACGGTGATCCGATACTTGGCTTTCTTGGTATGAGAAGGAGGTTATAGGATGACAACCTTTTCTAGGTTGTTTTTTTATCATAAAATGGCCAAAGAATCAATTAGTAGTATGCTTGATATTGCCGGAAGACCTTCTCTCTTAAAGCCTCTTCTCCATCTCTTGCGAGTTGCATTCAATGCCATATTCCTTATTAGATGCCACTTTCTTTAGTTTAGCGACTCTGCTATCGGTAGCATTCTTAGCTAATTAAATGGCCAAAGCAAAGGTTACAGATTCAATCACTAGTCCAAGCAAGAGCATCCGATAGAATAAAACCTATTCTTTACGTAACTCATACTCTCACATCGGTTACTCAAGCACCTTATTCATTAATAATTGATTCTATTTAATAGCAAACAAGCCTTTCTCTAATAGCCTATGATGATTCAATTGCTAAGAGTGAACTCGCCCGAAATCCCATTCGATGCTTATTTTAGTATAGGGTGAATCGTCTTCACCGACTTCACCATCGGTAGTTTCTTTTGGGCATGCCCCCGAGACTATTGATTCAATTCCTTCTCTCGAGCTTTCAATGTACCTTTTAATTAACGTCCAATCTTGCACTTACAATTGATTCTCTTACTTTAGATTAGCACCTTTCCCTCGAAGGATCGAGTTTGAAAGCTATGATTGGTATCCCTATGAGCAAGACGCTAGGCCAAGAAGCCCAAGGTGAGCTTTAACCCCGTAACTCCTCTCTTAATGCCCTAAGATCGGTCTTCCGGAGCCACTTTTGAGATAAATAAAAGATTTACTACTAAGCTTGTATACTCTAAGCCCGTATTCCTTCTAACACCGTATGAATGTGCGAGCTTCTTTTCGAATAGTAAGAGGGCATTCCTTGTTCGAAAGTCCCACGGTTCCTTCTCTGCCTTTATCTATTACCCTTCATTGTACAAAAGCAATGCCTTAATTTAAAGGCACACATCTCCTAGTCAACGAGTAAATAAACCTCTCTGTAAGCATTAATACACGAGTTTCAACGGTTGGCCTCTCTTGACATAAAAAGGGGCCTAGCTAGATTCTCGAAGCAAGAGCAAAGAGAACGAGGAGATAAGAGAAGCGCTTATTCGATAGCTTGAATCCCGACGAACCATTTCGTCCTACTCTTGGGCATTATTAAGGCTATGTTTGCTTTGTTTTTCCTATTTTTCTATGTTTGTTTCGCATTTAGAAAAAAGTCAATGGAAAATACTTTTCGATCAATAGAAAATGATAGAGTATTTTTTAAAAATATTTTTCCAGTTTCAAAAGAGAAAAATATTTTCAATCTCGGGAGCTATCTCGCATTACATATCTCTCTCTCGATATATTTTAACAATTTTTTTCTTTATCTTTTTTTTTTAATTTGAAATATATCGGATTAATTTTTAATTATTCCTTATCAATTATTATTAATTATTTAATTATTTTTTCTCTATTTTTACTAATATTGATTTTTTGATTTATAGATACATTAAATATTCTTAAAAATCATTTTTACACCTTAAAATTATTTTTATAATAAATATTTCAATAATTTGTCTCTATTTTTTTACTATTATCTCAAACACCACCTAAACTATACTTAAATGATTAGAAATAATTATTACAAGACTATAATTTTGTGTAAAAAAAAATTAAAATTTATTAATTCATCAATAAATACATTATTTGTTCAATACTATTCATTTGCAATTAAATCAATAATTGTTAATTTTAATCAATTGTAAAATTTTATTGGTAATTGTAGTGAATAATTAGTTACAAATTATTCCAACATTAATCTTTTGAGATCAAATGAATAATTATTTATAAATGATAACTAATAATTTATAAAAATATTTTTCAAAATAAATTATTAGTTCAATTTAAAAAAAAAAAATCTTAATTGAGTTACCAAAATAACAATGCTAGAATTACTTAAAATCTTTTTTTACTAAATGTGAATATTGACTTGATTTTGTCCCAAGTAATTTTGCTTGGATTGGTTTGATCGTTAAAAAAGTACATTTTATTTTTTAATTAAAATTTTAGAGTTAGCATTTATAAAAATTTATTAAATTTTTCTAAATATATCTTATATTGTGAAATTATGAATATGTCTTTTTGAAGTTTTCTCAAAACTTGTTGATATAACAATCACATATGTTTTTGTATTTTAATTTTTTGTATCAAACAAACGTTGGATATTTTTTCAATAATTTTTTCATGTAATTGCAAAACGATAGAAAATGTGTTTTTGAAAAATTATTTCATGAAAAATAGCTTCTTCAGGAATTGATTTTCCAATAAAATTTGTTTTCCTCTAAACAAACATAGCCTAAAAGAAAAGAAGAGAATCACCAACCAATCTAATTCCTTATGTGAAACTCTCGTGTCCCTCAATCCCAGATCTCAGGAACAGGGCTGACAGCAACATCATTAATCGAACGAGTCAGGATGAGAATTTCACATGGTACCGTCACTGCTTCTTTCTGTCCAACTCTTTATGCAATTGATGTAATAGCCAATAAGGCCATGGCATCCTCGTTATTTTCATTTGAGTGAAAGCCAAATCCACAAACTCAATAAAATCACAATTCATGCCGAAAAGGAGAGTTTCAGTCTACCGTCCATCTTTTCCCAAGCTCTAGTTGCAGGTACACATTCCAATAGGCAATGCATTATTGTCTCAGGTTGTTGACCACACACCTCGCAGATATCATTCTCTATTGCATGCCTTTGAAACTGATTTACCTTAACTGGTCTAATGTTGGAGCAAGGCTTTCTTCGTTTACATTGCTTTACCTTGAGTTGAGGGTCCATTTTGAGGATAATCGTATTGGCCAGCAGCCTGTAGAGCAGGTGGATTCTGTTCAATCATAATAGGTATGTACCTTTTTCCTCTCTCTTATCCAATGTCTCTTTTTCTGTAAAGTCCTAATTACTGGCTTTCGTTACTCTCTTTTGAGTCTTGCGAGTGGCCCATTCCTTAAAGTCTTCTATGAAGGCTTAGGCAAATACACTAGGGGACAGACCAGGAAAGTGGTTCATTCATAGAAAGAATTTTAAAAATCTACAATCTAGAAATAAGGGTTTGTGTATTTATTAATAGAATAGTCTTTTCTATAACTAAATAACTGTCCTTAAGGATTTAGATTTTAACACAAAATCGACCTCTTATCTGAAAACTTCGTATTCTTATATAGAAGTAACTTAGATTTTACCTTTAAGAATCAACCTCTTACAGCTACGTGTCGTTTAGTCAAAGCTCCCTTTCACTTTCGAATCATTCTATCATCCAAAGTCTTTGTTGTCGATGATGGGGTTGCTGGTCTGATCTTTTCTCTTCTTTCAGAAGCTAGGATTGGAAAGTTTGGAATTCTAATTGGAAGGATACCAATTGAGCTTCTAGGAGAAGACCACTTCCTATCTTGGGAACGATTCTTGTAAATAAATATACTAAGGGTATTTTTATGAAAAGTAGGATAGAGAGCGAGAGGGGAATAGATCGCATAATAAGAAATCCATTCTACCAAAAGGAATGATAGAATTCAAACCCTTCTTTAGAATTATCTCAAGCTGTCAAGAATTCTTAACAACTAATAATTTTAACTTATTAAGTAATTGACCAATTCAAAAGAGGTAGATTAAGAATTTTTGATCATTAAACAATTGACCAATTCAAATGAAGTGGATTAAGAATTCTGAATCATTAAACGATTGACCAAGTAAAATTCAAAAGAGATGGTCAAATTTTGTAAGTTCTAATTAGTTCTAGATTTTCTAAATGAGAAGGTTAAGTTTGGCTATAAATATAAACCTTATGATTGTAATGCATACATGAAAAATTAGAGAGAATTAGAGAGAAAAAGAGAGAGAGCAAGAGCAGTGACTATATACTAGCAACAACTAAGAAGAGAGAAATAGATTTAATTTATTGAGATGATATTTTATGTGAGTTTTTCTTATAATCAATATATATATCAATATATTATTATTTAACTTCTCTGATTTTGTGAGCCCATTACGCTTCCAACAAGGAGTCTATACCAAATTTCATATTAGTGGAGTACCAAATAGTATTTGACTACATAAAAAGAGTAAAAGCTAATACGGTTGCTATGAATTATGCTATTTCTTTAGGCTTTCATATCTGGTATGCTTTAATACCAAGCATTATGCTATGCTTAGGATTTGATGATTTTTATTATATCTTAAAGCCAGAGGTGCTCAAATCCATCAAAGATGCCACACGATCTTTCTCTGCCCCTATGATCTAGATACTCACTAAACTATATGAGAATTTAATGAACGTAATCATGCAGGAACCTGAGATTCTTATCCCAAAGACTAAAACCTTCTACCTTCAAGGGATAAGAGAAGAGGATCGAAGACAGAAAGTACTTAGTAAATTAGTGGATGTCTGCCTCACTCCTCCCTATAGGTAGGAATTCTCAGCAAAAGGCGACCCACCTTCTCCTGAGATTCAGGAATGAAACTTAGCGATGTATAACACTCTCTCTTTCCCACATAAGGTAATTGACTTACTTGAGTTTCAGCATAAAAACGAGGGAATACCCGGCTTTGTAAGCATCATACCCAACCGACTTCTTTGAAAGAAGGAAACTTGGTGAAAATCGGACTAAATGGAAAGGGTTAGCGATGTCGCCTATAATCTAAGCTATCCCCATCTTCTTCACCTACATAGTAAAATCCGCATGAGGAAGCATTTGATTATGCCTTTCTTGCTTCTAGGCTTGCTTTATTTGGCCAGGCAGCTTCCTACTTTGCACCTATAAGTCTGTTGTCTTGTAACTTCACTTCCTCTTTTGGAGGAGATCTTTCTTCTCTTTAGGTATGTAGCTTCATCTCTTTCTCTTCCCTAAGGATTCTTTCAATCGTCAACTAGAGAGCATGCCACTTTGTGGAATTTCTTTCTTTCGTAAAGGCATAATATATTTGTACATATAAATCGCAGGATAAACCCAAACTTAAAGGTCCCCAAAAAATAACTAGTCTGGTCAGTCATTTGACCTTCATGTGCGATGTAATGGAGCATGCGTAGAGATTCTATCTCGAGTTATCGTCATATCTGTTGGAGTATTTTTATAAAAATATAATTTTTAATTATATTAATTACTTTGAAAAAAAATACTGTTTTGAGATAGTACATTGTACTATTGAAACAATACTCAACCTTTATTAATTCCTTTTGAAATTGCTGTCAAAGCAACCAGTTTGTAAATGCCTTGAAAAACAGTTACTGTATAAAATATAAAACAAAAGACCAATGACCTTTTGTCTTTTTATTTATTTTCTTAACGTAGAATGGCCACTAAATTTATTTAAAAGAGAACATTCCTTTCTTACAAATGGTTCTTTACTTTCTATATATATATATATATATTGCTATTTTTAATACACAACATTTTTATATTCTTGTTATTTAGAGAGAAAACTATTGCAGTGTTTTCTAGTGAAGACGAAAAATAATTTTTCATTTTTTGTGTTCTTTAATCTCCCACTTTAAAGTTATATAATGTTTACTTATTTGTTTTTTGGATAAAAGCGGTATTGAATTTTATTTAGAGTTTCAAGTCTTACAAGTAGTGCAAATTTATTAAGACACAACAAGGTGACTGAGCTTGTTGTATCCCCAAAATAGCATGCAATATAGTTTTAATCCGTTTCATTAGATAAATTCTTTGAATGACGTGTATCATCTCAAGAAAACAACTTATTTGTGCCTCGAGCCAATCATCTAAAAATTATGATAAAACTATTTTGGTGGTTCAATCCTCTTTATGCCATAAAACATTATAACATGATTTTAATCCCGAATTCTCCGAACATTAAGGTAAAAAATTTCAATTCTTTATTTAGCTTAATTTACAACAAATTTATTTATTTATTGTGTAAATTTTACTGATTAATAATGTTCCTTTTGTGTGCTAGAAACAATAATTTGAGATGATACCATGTTGTGATTTAATGATTAAAATTGTGATATGAATTTGGCATGAAATTTTAATATTATGTTTTTCATAATGTTGATATCATTACTTTTCTATTATGCTTTTTTATTAGTGTTTGATGATTCTAGCTACTTAACTAAGAATAAAGCAAGTATTGAAAAAAAATATTATTTTATTGACATCTTAGTTGGTTGTATGCATCTAGCAAATTTCATTGATTGAAAATAAATTTATAGATGTTAATTAGCCACATGAAAAAAAGAAAAAATTCATTTCATTTATTATCATATTTTACTCTTACCTACACATCATATATTGTTATGGGTGAATTGATAATTCTTTATATGTGATAATATACGTATATTGTTAATATTTTATTTTGTTAAGCTTTAAAGACAATAAACATATTTCAATGTCAATCCTTTGTTCGTGTGATTGCGTTGCTCTTGAAAAAATAATAATAATGAAATTACCACTATCATTTGGCTAATGAGATACCAAGATCATGCTTGATGGAAAATAAATATTATTTTACTGCTAATATATTTTATGTGCATAGTTATGAGATTATTTACATATTGATCTATAATATATTTATAACTTACGGTTTCCTATCAAATATTATTATTCAAGGTCAATGATATTGATAGTGTTGAAAATTAATATTCGTGACATTAACCATGTCAATGATTTATTTGTGAATTTTATTATCGATACAAATATAAATAAATTAAGAATTGATTTATAAATTTATTTATATTGATTAATTATAATTGACATTGAAATTATTTTTTATGTTAGTGAGATAAATGAGAAGCTAACGAAGAAAATATATTCAATATTTTTATATGGATATATTGATCATATTGGATGCAAAGTCAAGAAAACCAAATTTATGTGGCATTAGAGGCAATGATAGCTATGCCAATATAAAAAGTGTTTCAAGTCTCCAACGGTTCTTACATTATGATAAATATAAAAAGTGAAGTAAGTATTTCAAATGTCAAAAGTATTAAGTTCTTTGATTTTTACCTTATATATTTGACATTTACTTTTGATGATGAAAGTATTTGATACTTGTATTTACAAACAATTTTAGATTTTTGTATGGATATTTATTGATCCATGCATAAGTGTTTAATCCAAAAAAAAAAAAAAAAAAAGAGGGGGAAATGTGAATGTCATATAAATTCTTGTTATTTAATGTTTGTAAACTAATATTGGTTCACATAATTTTTTTATTATGTCTTGAAAAGTTCACATATTAATTTAATTAAGATAAATTATATTTTGAATGTCAATTATTTTTATATGACTCATGTTGAAATTATTTGACACCCTTGTTCGATTATGGTAGTATGAACAACTATAAAAATAATAATCTTGTTAGTAGATTATTAGTCGGATAAAGATTTATGATTTAATAAAGGATTTTTTTTCATATAATATTTTCTATTTGAAAATAAAAATTTGATATATTATCTTATTTAAAAAATATACCTTGTTGATTATTTATTCACAAGAATAAATTATAAATGCCGATAATGAAATAATAGAATAATGCATGTCATCATTTTGTCTACGAGTGGTAGCAAGAAAATTATTAATTATGTGAATAGTGGGGGCATAAAAAAAGCTATTGTATTAAAATTTTATTTGAGAAAATTATTATGTCATTTAAGATAAATTATCATAATTCTCTCATGATGATAAATTATCATAATTTTTCTCATGATGCTTGAGTTATTTGCCACATATAAATTTTTAATGTGATACTATTAGAAATATTTATAAAAGTATTCGTGTTATACAAAAGGTATAATGATACTTGTGAAATATTTGATAAAAGCATTCCTATTATACAAAAGGTATAATGATGTTTATGAAATATTTGGCAAAAATATTGAGAGAATTAATGGAATTAGTGACATTCCTACTATAGAATTAAGGTATAATGATGTTTTAATGATATTATCCGATAAGTGAAATTAGAGATACTTCTATTGTATAATCAAGATACAATGAGATTGCAATAATATTGTCTAATAAGACAATTTGTGATATTTTAAGAAATTTAAATATTTAGTTAAATATTAATATTCCTATTGTATAGATGAGATACAATGATGTCAAATTTATATGAGAAACTAGAGATGAGAAAAGTTCCATATTCACTTCGATGTGATGATATTAAATATTTTCCAATGTATTAAAAACTACAATGATCTCATCATGTTTTAGCACAATGATGAGGATGGGAAAAATAATTATGAGATTGGCTCACGTATGTGTGGTAAAAATTAAATTGGCTAAGTCAAAGCCAATGAAAAAACAAGTGGATGCCGATACAAAAAAAAAAAAAAAAAAACCAAAGGGATACTATGCCTTGTCTAAAGAAAAAATAGTAATGATGAAAATTCCTACCACTTGTCTTAGCACTAATAAATTGATTAAGTGCTAGTTACCTAATCCTTTGGGTGTATATTGATTATTATAGGAGTAAATCTTTAGCTAAAGTTCAAATATTATATGATGCATCAAGGGGAAGAGACTAAGCTCATAAATAAATAAAATTACATATGTAGATACTCTACCCGGGGACTAGAGATCCCAAAAACTAGGTTCAAAGAGAAAAATGAGCATAGAGTGATTTGATTATATGCATAATATATTTCGGTTACAATACTTATATGTCTATCCTTATGATATAATGCATGAATCTTATAACAAAAGAGAGGTTAAGTTTCTTTAAATGAAACTTCTAATGTGGTCTATACTTCTTTTTAAATGGGATGTTGAGTTATGGGAGCATCCTTAATAGACACACCTATATGAGTGAAGAAGTGGGATCATTTTCTATGAGAATTGGGTTAATTCTTTAGAACACTCATATAAGCCGAGGATCAAACACAATGTTGTTAATGTGTTGGCTTTGAAACTCTTTGCGAGTACTTGAATATAATATATATGATACAATATTTATTTCACTTAAAAAGCCTTAGTTCAAAACAAGGTTCACTATTGGCTTGAGAGAAATGTTGTTGAAACACTAAGGGTTCAAGCTATTAGCACCCTTATTATGTATTATGTTCGTTTTCTTATCCAAAAATATGACTAATATTTTTTATACAAATAAGTGGGGGATTGTTGAAGAATTTTTATAAAATATAATTTTTAATTATATTAATTACTTTGAAAAAAAAAAGATACTATTTTGAAATAGTACATTGTACGATTGAACATAATGCTCAAAGCCTTTAGTAATTCCTTTTGAAACTATTGTCAAAACAACCGGTATGTAAATGCTTTGACAAGCGATTACTATATAAAATATAAAACAAAAGACTAACGACCTTTTATCTTTTTATTTATTTTCTTAATGTAGAATGGCCATTAAATTTCTTTAGAAGAGAACATTCATTTCTTACAAATGATTCTTTACTTTTTAGCTATATATATGTGTGATATTTTACCATTTTTGACACATAACATTTCTATGTTCTTGTTATTTATAGAGAAAACTATTGCAGTGTTTTCTAGTGAAGAAGAAAAATAATTCTTCATTTTTCGTGTTCTTTAATTTCTCATTATATAGCCATATAATGTTTACTTGTTTATTTTTTAGGTAAAAGTGGTATAAAATTTTATATAGAGTTTTAAGTCTTATAATTAGTGTAAATTTGTTAACACACGAGTAAGGTGACTGAGCTTGTTGTATCCCTAAGATGGTATGTAATATATTTTTAATTCGTTATATCGGATAAATTCTATGAATGACGCATATCATCTTAAGAAAGCAATCTGGTTATGCCTCGAGTTAGTCACCTAAAAATTATGATAAACTATTTTGATGGTTTAGTCCTTTTTATACTATAAAATATGGTAACGTGATTTTAATCTTAAATTGTCCGAAGATTAAGGTAAAAAGTTCTAATTTTTTATTTATTTTAATTTACAATAAATTTATTTATTTATTATTTAAATTTTATTGATTTATAATGTTTCTTTTGTGTGTTAAGAACAAAAGTATCAATAGAAAGCATTGTTTACTAGAGCTTTTAAGTAAGAGCATCTAATTGAACTAAAGCCATGTGTAAACAATGGCTATATCATCAACTTCCCCCGATCTAACTAATCTTTCATTTTCTCAAGAATTTTGTTTGTAATCTGGTTTCCCTCCCAAGTGAGACTTCAATTATGACATTAGAGCATTTTTTTTGTGATTTTGGTATCAAGTTAATTTCCCTTCTTAGACATCAATTGAAATTGGACAACTTTAGAAAACAACTTGTTTTTCGTCTAAATGCATTTTCCCTTCCTAAGTGACATAAAAAGAGTGCCACTTTCATGAAACCCCGTCTTTTTCCTCTTTCTTTTTTATGTATTAGAGAGCGTTGCCTTATTATTCATGAACAAGCAAGTCAAAGCTACATCCCTATTCCATGCCCCAATTCAAGATTCATATCGCTTGTCATAAGTGATGCATCATCATAGCTTTTTTGTAGGAATGTTATCATATTGTTGTCTATTCGATTTTGTGTGCTGAGATTTGAGGCATTTTCATTGGATTAAAGATGGCTTGGAAAGCTAGTTATCAACAAATGTTGCATGAATTTGATCCTCAATTATCTATCCACTTACTAACTTTTCAAGGAGACAATCATAGAGAGTATAGTAGCTATAAAGAGTATAACGAGTTAGTTCAATGTAATATCCACGATCGAAAATCCTCGTTAAATATAAATATACTATAAAGTTATTTTATGTAATTAATAAAAGTATATTTATTAAATGTGAGTAATAAAAATTTAAAGTTTAATTAAGAATGAAATAAACACAAGTATGATTAAAAGGAAAACATAATAGAGTGAGTAAGGCTTGAATTAGAGATTGGTACCCCTTATTGATATGGTTATATTTTAAACTAGGGGCAAAATTGTAAAACTTAGGGGCATAATCGTAACAATTAAAAGTTTAAGTACTTGATTGAAATGATTAAGCAACTTTAAGGACTTAAATTATCGATGACAAAGTTCTAGGACAAGGGCTAAATTGATGAAAATTATGAAGTTATGGATTAAAATTGGAGGGCTCAATTGTAAAGATTAAAAGTTTTAAGGAGTAAAGTGTAAAATGGTAACACTTTAAGGGACCTATTAATTGATTTTAAGGGACAAGCTTTAGCTAGAGAATTCTAGAAAATTTTAGAGAAAAGGGTAAGGAGAAAGTCGATTAAGGAGGAGGAAACAAGAGAAAATATCTAAGGCAAAAAGAGAAAAAAATAAAAATGGAGAAGAAAAATCTAGAAGCCATTAATAACCAACGTTAAGATTAAATCAAGTGCGACACACTTGGCTTAATCCTAAGGAAAAACCATGGCTATAAAAGAGGAAGAAGAAGATGGAAAAAGGATTAGAAGCTAGAAGCATTTAACTATAAAGGAACAACTATAGCAACCGAGAAGAAAATCATCCAACCACCACTCCAAACCACCTTAGATACCTTAGAAACATCCTAAAATCATTTAGAATTAGCTTGGAAGATCAAACAAAAGAGGGGAAAAAAGTACTATTTGGGTCGAAACTTTTGGGAAGGAAGAGAGAAAGAAAGCCAATGAGGAAGAAAACAAGATTAGCCAAGCTTTAAGTGAGGTAAGTGTAATCCTTGCTAAACCATAAGAAAATAGTATTTTTGATGCATATTTGATGATAAATTGAAGTTATACTTGCTTGAGGTTTTATGGTTAAATTATTGGTAAAACTATATGGTTGTTTGATTTTGGTTTTTGTATGGATGGATATGTAATTGTATGGTTTGAATTATGATGATTTGATACTTAATTGAATTAAATAATTGATTTTTGAGGTTTTCCTAATTCTTAGAATAAGGTGGTTGGGTATCCTTAAGCTTGAATAAATTAGAGATCTTAAGACCTAATGTTTGCAATATGTTTGATGAAATGGTTTAAAGATGTTTATGGTGCTAAATTGGAAAAATTGAAACTCGGTCTCTTTATGATGAATTTTAGCCAAGTAAGAAGATTTAGATTGAACCGAAACTTAACCTACTTAATGTTAAAATGATGAGTAACATGTTAATTAGTTTAAGAAGTTGAGGTGAAAAATTGAGGTAAAAGGAAGAAATGGAAGTTGTCCTTCCATTAGCCAATTTTGGCCAAGAATGAAAAATAAAAGCAAAAAAAGGTAATGTGAGGTTAATGTAATTTTAGGGTTTAGAGGTATAAAATTTTCACGACTCCGAAGTAAGCCATGATCGATGCAAGAATCAAAGGAATTGTAAGGCCTATCTTAACCCAAGCAAGCCTCGGATACTACACTAAATTCCTCAAATATTATTATGACATCATGCATCATTCCATTTCATCATATTAGAACTTAACCATTCATATTCTATAACTTCAACATAATTTGTAATTCTATTATATTCTTGCATTTCAATATCCAAAGTAAAATGCTAATATAATACCTACGACCATAACTACGAGTTTTGTAAGAATACAACTCGAATAAGACATAGGTTCTAGGAATTACAATTAATGTAAGTTGCACGATCAAAGTTCCGACTTCAAACGAAAAGTCAAATAGAAGCAAAAGGCAATCCCTCAATATCTTGCAAAACGAAATAATGAGGGGTGAGCAATCAACGGTTTAGTGAGTAGACATTATATAACATACTAAAGTAGGTAAATGGACTAAAGATGATAATTTAGATCAACATGTCATGCTAATTTCTTTAAAACACATGCATATCAAAAATCAAATCATATATAACAATTTAAATGGTTCAAAACCCTTTTATATCAAATCATCAAATCATACGTGTACATATACACATCATAATCCAATCAAAACACATATCTAGGTTTTTATACACCTATAGGATAATAATATATCATTGGGTACAAACACCTAAAGGTCACGCCTTCCATGACTAGGTTTCGTATCTTGAACAACGAATAGGCTAGCACTCTGCCTCTTCGACTAACTAAAGCGTCATATTATTGAGGTCAAAGGCTATAGCCCTCGTAGCTAGGTTCCTTAGGGGCTCAAAAATATTTTTGAAAACCAAATACTTATACATTTTTCAAACCCAAATTTCAAATACCATGCATGCTCCAAATCAAATAGATATTAATATAACTTCATATCAAATATGTATTTTAAAAAATTATAATATAATCAAATAACGAGTTACAACACATTCTTTTAAATCCAAAATCACATATCAAATCCAATAACACATTTGTGAAAATACATTCAAATCTCTTTCCAATTCATATCAAATCATTTTAATACAAGATTATTTCAAAATTCATGGAGTCTACTCCCATGTAAATTCTAATGGAATACTCAAAATTATTCTTAAATCAATGATGCATGATGAATATAATCGAAGGAATATGAAATACAATATGTTAGATAATATCTACTTGAAGTACAATTTGAAAAAACGAATAGAATTAAGGTTGGGATGGAGTTACCTGCTTCAAAAAATCTAATAACACATGATGGACAACCATCAATATCATATACCAAAGAATAATTCAAAAATAATTGAATTTTCTAGAATTGAGAAATCAAGATTATTTGTTAGCACCTAATTTTTTTCAAAACAATAAGAAAAAGAAAAAAGAAAAAGGAATGAAAAAATATAATCAAGGGATGCAATTGAAAAAAAGAGGAATAAGTATTCAAAATGAAGCAAGTTTATGAGATGAAAGACCAAGCTAAACTTAGCTTAAAAAACCTTACATATAAAAAGCCCATCGTGCCTTTTTTTAGGGTAGCTATCGTTGACCCCTCCCAAAAGCGAGCCTCCCACAACGACCTCTTGCCTACTACCTCCCCTTCTCCTATAGCAACCTCTCACCCACTGCCTCCCCATCTCTCGCAGTAGCTCTCCTCCCCTGCAACCTCTCGCCACGCCTCTTAGCCCGCTCCCCATGCCACCATGCTTGCCACAACACCAATAGCACGCACCTAGCCCCACGTCATCGATAATGACCTCCGACCTTAGCATACACCACCGGCCACGCAGCGGCTCCATTGCGCACATGCCTTGCATGCTAGCAGCCCTCGCCTTGCCGGTCTTAGCATGCAAACTTCCTCCAATGCAGCCTGCGCCTAGTGCCGCGCATCGGCTCCGGCGCCCAATTCCATCCCCGCTCCTAGCTCCGATGTACGCCTCGCCCGGCTCGCAGCGCCTCACCTCTGCTCATGCGGTAGCGCCTCCAGCCGTCACTCCTAGTCATCTTTCCTCCTTGATTGACTAAATATAGATCTCTATCGGGTTTGAAAATGATCCGAGCAAATCTCAATTCAACGGAATGATATGTTTGTTTACGGTAATTTGTTTTCACCTTGCTTTATTTTTTTATATGTATTAAATCGATTTATATTAATATGTGTCCGTAATTTATTTAATGATTGCATTTGTGTAATTGATTTAATCCATTGTTTATTGTGTGTCTTGTTTGAATTGTGATGGTGCGTGTCTAAATTAATTTATAGCATTTGCGATAGTTGGGCGATATGTTTACCTGGATGTTTACTATTGTTTGATATGTATATTTTTAAAATGCGTTGGCTTGAATTTTGGGATAGGACCTCTTTTGGTTGGACATATGTGCATCGTGGCAATTAATTTTACACGATATTGATTTTTTTAGCTTAATTTTATTTTTTGGCGATTTCGACTCGATTGTCGGCATTCGTCAAATTTAGCCTAGTTTTCAAATTTTGCATTTTGCCAATTTAGGCCAAGTTATGGAATTTGTTTTTACCTTTTGCTGATTTAGGCCTAGTTATCAATTTTTGCCCAATTGTCAATTTTTGCCAACTTGCCAATTTTCATCGATTTTGCCTAATTGTTGATTATCGTTGATTTTTGCCAACTTGTCGGTTTTCGCTCAATTATCGATTCTTGCCGACTAGTCGATTTTTGTTAATTTATCGATTTTGCCTATTTGGCCTAATTGCCTATTTGTCAATTTGTCGATTTTTGCCTATGATTGCCTAGATTGTCGACTTGCATTTGTTTTTACCTCGATTGCGGATTTTTTCCTATGATTGCCTTGATTGTAGATTTTCATTTGTTTTTGCCCTAATTGATGATTTTTGCCTATGATTGTTTAAGTTGTCAACTTTTATTGTTTTTCTCTTAAATTGTCGATTATGCCTATGATTATCCGAATTGTCGACTTTTGCCTATATTTGTATAAAATATCTTGATTTTTTGCCTAATTACCAATTTTTATCTAAGCATCGATTTTCATTAATTTAATAAAATTTAGCATGATTTGTCCGTTTACCTATGTAGCCAAGTATGCCTATTTTTACCTAACCTATGTAGCCAAGTATGACTATTTTTACCTATTTTATCAATTTTTATCTATTTAATTTTATCCGTTTTACCATCCTTGCATCATCATTTTTAGCCATCCATTACAGAGTGAGGATGAGATTTCTAACCGATCAAGTCTCGAATCACGCAACCGGGGGAATGGTTTAATAAAAAATCAAAAATTAAATCAATATTATATGCAATGCAGCTTGCCTTAGGCAAGATGGGGTAGGAGAATTTTTAATCTTCCCTACACATAATAAACCCTTTATCCCGATTTCTAAACATACCGATCATAGGGTTTTCTAGTAACCGTAATATTAGGTGGCGACTTCAATCATTTATGCCCATTTTTCTTATTTTTTTCAAATTCATCACCCTTGCAATCGACATCGCCTTACGACGGGATGACGACTCTACTCGGGGGTTATACTTACGGTTAGGCTTTGCATGAAATTTTTGAATTTTATTTCGATGATGTGATGAACTTTTGTGCTTATATGCTGATTTGTGTAATTTTCCTGCCTCGTATAAATGCATGCCTTTCTGTCATTGTTTGTCTTATATTTTTATTTTTGCTTATTCATTTATTCAATCCTTCTTGTGTCTTTATTTAAGTCTTTATTTTTGTGTTTGGGATCTGGATATGGAATAATGCCTATACACATACTACACTAACCATTACTTTTATGTTTATCACACACTTGCCTCGGGACTTAGGGAGGTAATAATGGTGCCTCGATAGGTTTCACCCCGAGTAACATTCACAAAATCTTAACTCTTCTTGCTAATCGCTAACGAGCGATGGGTAACCGATGATCTTTCGTACTTAGCAATCGGCGCCTTTAGCGGCCCCAACAATTTTATTATGATTCGTTGGGCTTGAAGGGATCCTTTTGAGACTTAGATAGATCCTATCCTGTTCATGTAATGCTTAGAACCAAACAATTTAAACCTTGACCAAACAATTTGATCACGATATTTTAGGATGGATGATAGTATCACTTTATTTTTAATATATTGTCTATATTTTATGTTTGTTGTTATTTGTCAAAGTAGAAATATAGGTCGACCTATCAAAATTATATTTCCTTCGCGCATTCACCACACCAAAGTAAGAAAAAGATGAAAAACAAAAAAAGGGCTTTGCTTGAGCAAAATCATCGAAAGAGATAGACACGAGTAAACGAAGAGGTTGCTTAGGCTTACTCGCTCTATTGGAACAAAGTCAACAAAAGGACATGTCTTCGGAGATTATCGTCCAAAGAGAAGTTGGCCGATCATTGACTTTTCCAAAAATGTTCACCGTCAATCACTTAGAATGCTTGCTCCAATACCACCTCTTGGTATGCCTTATTTGGAGCCCATCGATATTGTTAATCATTCCAACTATCCCACACCGAGGGGCACATTTAAGTTTGCTCCAAGACCTTTGGGCCCCGCTCTTATATTGCCTTGGACTATCCAAGCACCGATAGCAATACCTATTGATTTTGTCACCGAAGAGTTGGCCAAGGAAAAGATAGCTTCAAAACTCGAAGCCGAGAAGGTCACCGCCATTGAGGAACACTTGAGAGCTATCAAGAGTGTAGATACGTATGATCTCCTTCTCGGTGTAGATAAATGTCTAACATCGAATTTGGTGATCCCTAGAAAGTTTAAAGTGTCCGAACTCACCAAGTACACTAGGAGGCAATATCCTAGGACCCACATAAGGATCTATCCGAATAAGATTATTGATGTAGCATATGATGAAAATTTAATGATTCATTTCTTTCCCGAGAGTCTCGATGGGTCTACTCTTAGTCGGTTTATTGACCTGGACCAAACAAAGATCAAAAGGTGAAAAGATTTGGTGGATGTATTCATGAGATAGTATAAATTTAATTTGGAGATAACACTCGATAGATTTAACTTGTAGTCTATGAAAAAAGGCTCAAGGAAATCGGTTAAGGGGTATGCCCAATGATGGAGAGAAACGACTTCTTGCATTCGCCCTCCCCTCCTTAAGAAAGAATTGGTCACTCTTTTCATCAACACTTTCAAGGCTCCATATTATGACTATCCGCTAAGTAATTGATTAAACAACTTTATGGAGATAGTGTCTACCGTAGATCGGATAGAACAAGCCATCAAGTCGGGAAAGATAACCAATTTTTAGAATCTAGACATAAGAGGAGTAACTTCGGTTAGAGAAAAGAACAAGAGGTACATCAAATTGGATGATCTTCTTCTATTCCTAGAGGGCAATAGAACAATTCTTAAAAGAATAACGGTCGGTTCATCCCTCAAAACAACATTCCTAATCCATCCGTCGTTCATAATTCCTACAAGTGCTAATCCAACCAACGTAGCTAGACCGACGACCCAAACACTAACTTTTTCACAATACCAAATATTGCACAACCCTCACCAAACTCGTTCAAACACTTACCTTACCCCCAAACACATTATCGAGGCCTATAATAATTCATCAACCAATTAAGTTCAACCAATCAAAACTCTCTAAGGAATATCGATAGGAGCCAATTCGATGATGTATTACCGTCACTTCCCATATCTTTTGGTAATCTCTTTAAGCACTTAGTAATCGTCGGTCGGATAGCTCCTATGACACTCACACCACTTCAGCCATCATTCCCTCATTGGTATAAGCCTAATGAGGTTTGTGTATACCACGGTGACGCCAATGGTCATAGTATTGAGAACTCGTGTGAGCTTCAAGAAAAGGGTACGAAATTTGATTGATCAAGTCCCGATTACATTTGAAGATTCCTCAAATCCCACAAACACTAATTCTAATCCTTTGCCAAATCATGCCGCTATCGTGAGAGGAAACATGTTATCATTGGATGAAAAAAAATCAACTAGGGAGAGGAACCGAGTATTTGGTTTGATGAAGAAATGCCTATTGTTTCCAAGATCGAGTGGTTCGCTTATTATGGTTATCTTTTTCTTTTTTTCATTTTCGTTCATAAGTACATTGTGTTGACTCTTTATCATGCTTTCATAATAATGTTATTTTATGGATCATGCAAACTTTTTTCATCTTTGTATGATTCTTTTCATTCATCTTATTTGTATTCTCTCTTTGGGATATCCGATATGATTATATCCCGAAAGCACCAAATGATTATGCTAAAAATTATTGGCCTAACTACGATAACACTAGACAAAGAAAAAATGTTATGATTTTCATGGATTGATCCATTCCTTTGAAGAAAAAGAAATTTCTACTATCGTAGCATGGTTTATTATTAATTTAAAACCAAGGGGTGTTTATTTGAAAGTATCATTCATTATTTTATGCCATCTAAGTTGAAGAAAGTAAAAGGGTGATTGCATTCAACATATTTCAAAAGTGATTAATTTTTAAAACATGTCATGTAAACGTAAGTAGGTAATTTCTTTTTGTCAAAACCAAAAATGTCTTTTCTCCATGAGCATTTTTAAGATAGCCTTACCTAGGATAATATAATGACACCCTAAATGAGAAGTTAAATGATTTGATATCTTAAATGATGATAAGTGGTGCACACTTGGATCATGATATCATTAAATCCATCTCTTCTTCTTCTTAAATCATGGTCTTTAAATGAAACTAAAACCTATCAACTTAAGTGAGTCATACTAGAGATGAAGAAATGTCATTTTTTATATATTCTTACAAATAAATTTTACCATTTATTGTCCCACTTTAAGCC